TCTGATGTTTTTGGAGGTTCGTGTATGCTCTGCTCCCGCTTTGTAGTATTTAATTGGACTTTGAGGTTGAATACTGTTCGTTATCTCTATATTTTATTCTTATGAAGCAGAACTTTTTCAAAAATACTATATGAAAAGAAAACGTCTCTTGCTGTTGCCTTCTGTGCCATATTTAGAAGTACCAAAGACGTTTTATCGATTCACAATATTCATTTTCGTTCATATGTTCATATGTTGATAAAAGACGCCACAGAATATGAGGTATCTATTCGTATTTGAATGTTTTATAGAGAAAAGAACGCTGATGATAAACTAACAAACTCTATGATAAACGTGATGACTTTAACTTGTCTTTTTTCAACTTCTTTTATTTATGTAGTAACATTCCATCATCACCTGCATATGGTGTTCATGTCTTCTGATTAATTCGATACGCAAGAGCATGTTTCACGTACTAACAATTTCTTATCGGAGGTATGCTAACTTTAAATAAGTTGATGAATCATGAGTATCAACAATCTTGTTTAAGGCCAATATTTTGCAAATTCCATGGGTTATACAATGACTTTGTAAATAAAATCTGTCTTAAGATTGAGGTTTTTAAAAAAGAAATGTTAGGCCATTATTTTCATACTGAATTTTCTATGTATTTTTCTGTTTAATAGATCAATGCAAATGACTCAAAGGGGTGAAACCGGTCGACAGGAGAGGCTTACTCCTCCACGGCACCTTATCCAATCTCTGATATTTTCAAAGGTTCATATTTGATCTGCTCTCAATTGTATTGTTTAATTGGACTTATGAACATGACCGTGTTCGTTATAAGTATATTTCATTCATTCAAATCTATTAAAAAGACACAGAGATCTTATAAATTTGACTGTTTACTCTCCATTGGTGAATTACATACGTCGCATAATCTGTCCGAAACTATCCTATTCTCGGGTGTGGGGGCAACGGAAGAATGTGCAAACGTTACGAAGTTGGTTTCCACGGGTATCACAAGTGATGGTGAAAGAAGTAAAACTATATTGGGAAGAAAACCATTTGCTTACTTACATTTTGTGATTTATATCATAGGTGAACAACATTCATAACTATTTATATCAATGGTGAACAACATTCATAACTATTTATATCATAGGTGAACAACATTCATTACTATTTATATCAATGGTGAACAACATTCATAACTTTATATCAATGGTGAACAACATTCATAACTATTTATATCAATGGTGAACAACATTCATAACTCCTGTTCATATACTGCTAACATTGTTTATCAAAGTGATGGGCTGTTAACTTAAAATGATTTCACTTTAAATGTTAACCATAGATGCAAGCTCATATTATTGAGGAAATACAGATTTTTGGTTTCAATTTGTAAAATCATGATAATGGACATAAAAAATGTTAAAATGAAATTAATTTTCAATGTTATATTGGATACAGCGTACATATAAACTGCTTTCGCAATACTTTATTTAATTACCACACGTAAGTAATACTGATTTACAGAACAGGATAGGACACAACGAAGAATGTCAATTAAATTCTATTACACATCTTGCTGAAATACATAAATATTCTATGGGAGATTTTGTCATGATGGATTTATTTGTGGTTAATGATTTCAAATAATCTAAAATAATCATTTGGTCTTATGTAAATTAATTTATTCTTGGGATTCTCAATAAATAAAAAAAAAATCGGAATCTCTAGTAAGAATTGATAAATCTGGTCACCCTATTTAGTCTTAGTAAACAATACTTGAGGGTTTACAAATACTAGTACTGAATTTAGATGTTTCTTTTCTCCAAGTATCAATGTTGCAACTTTGGCTTCAAACAGAGCAATGTGAAATTCATCTTAGAAAGTTCTTTTTAAACTTAATTTAAAAAAAAGATAATATGTAAACAGAGGATTTCAATTCCATTCCACAGGATAATTGTAAGAAAGGAGTTATATTAGACAACAGCTAACATTCGTCAACCAAAACTAAAATAAATTTTAAGATGTATCTATTTACAGTAATCAGTTAATATTTTCCTTTATATAAGATAATTTAATTTTTAATTAATGTCGTTTATTGTCCACCAATCCATCATATTTAGATCACACATACATGTATTTTAAGGCTGTTTATTTAAAGCTTAAGGAACGTGCCAAGAATTAAACTTATAGAGAATTCATTTGACATCATCTTTAATTTGTAATATATAATGACTAGAAAATAAAAGTAACTGTCTGCTCAATTTTAACAGGCTTTTTATGGTTCACACTGGGATTGTCACAATGTTGAAAACTCCAGAAATTTAATCAATTTGCATTTCATCTTACATCATGTAATTTTTTTCAAAGTTATCAATCTTCATCTGGTAGATTATAGTGTCGTTAGGACTTTTACAAGGCTTGAATGTTCTTATTTAAAAGAAATAGTAACATCATCTGATATGATTGTCAAAATCACACATTACTGTACTATGTCGATAATGGAAACAGTGCACGATTGCTTTGTAAGGACGTAAACAATAAAAAGTCATTCAATAACCCGTTTCTCATATATTAAATACTTGTGGTTCAATTTGAGAAAGTGTCAGCAATTGATAAAAAATATTACATTGGACCTGAATTCCTGACAGCTGTCAAATCTTCCCATTTTATACGATCATAATTTAAAAATATATATATAAATACTGTATTTTGGTATGGTGACATTCATTCTTATTTTAAATTTGCATTCAAATCCATCAGTTATCAATGAACCATTAACCATTTTCAGAACTTTAAAAAATACCCTCGTACATAGTAAATATAATCTTACAAAGCTTCAGCAAGTTTAATAAATATTTAGGTTAAGATTAGAGAATGTAGAATCTTGCCTAGTAACAGTAGTTTGATTTAACTGTGTTACTTATCGTATTCTTTGTTTTAAAGTTATTTTTAAAGAAAAAAGGCATCAATTACGATTGCACTCATAAAATGATTTATCACCCGTTCTGATGAACTTAAGTAAGGATGAGAAAACCAGAGGGTTTTCAACAACTACTGTGCTTTCCAGAGACAGAAAACGTGTCACATTTGAAGTATTTCATAAAAATTCTCATGTAAGATATATTACGCAATCTTCTACGTAATGAATATTATTCTTATGGAAAGCTATTCTTTCCATAAAGAGTATACTGAGCAAATGATGTTACTTTAATTTCTCATGACACATAAAATAAATTGTCTTAGCAAAAGCAATAAAAAAATTCTGAAATACTGGCATCCATGTTTATATCTTTTGTATTGAATTACTGAAAGTAAGAGAACGATGTTTACCAGTGAAATATTATTAATCCATGTGGTTGTTTAAAAATTCAGACAAATAACACTAAATAATGAGAATAAAATATATAACTAGTAGCTGAAAAAGCTGAAGATAACGAACAGAGATCTCACAAAATCAGCCGCGAACAAGGCAGAGAAACACCAGAGGTGGGATCAGGTGCCTAGGAGGAGTAAGCATCCCCTGTCGATCAGCCATACTATATATGGATCAGGCAAATGGAGTTATCCGTAGTCAGTTATAGCAAGAATATAATAGCCTAATAATTAATGGTCTGAAACATGTCCGTCAAAGTTCGCCCCACTCATGGTTTTTGAATGCGAACATGGCCACAGAATTTGAGAAATGCTGACTTTAAACGATATAGTTGAAAGCCTCATAACATCGATTTATAAGCCAGTAATCTGTCTCAGTTTAAAGATTGATCTGCCTCAGAGTATGCTCTTTTTATACCGAATCAGCTGGATAACACAAACACCACATGCAGGTGAACATGGAATACTATTGCATAATAAATGTGGAAAGTTGTTAGTTTGACATGAACGTTTATATTAAGTAAAACATTCAAATATGACTCTGTAGTGTTTTTACTTCTAGTTCAATGGGATATATCGAGTTGACAAATGAATGCAGGTGAAAATGAAATTCATATGGGTACCAATTGCGCCCCCTTATTAACAGACCTATTTTTGTATTCATATGAAGTAGAAGAAAACACTTACTATGGCCTTCAACTCGACATTCCGATATATCGACGACGTATTATCAATTAACAATAGTTACTTTCATTCATATGTCGACTCGATATATCCCAGTGAGCTTGAAAGAAAAGATACCACAGATTCTGACACATCTGTTTGATATTTAGATATTTTACTAGAAAAAGACGTAAAGGGTAAACTAACAACAAAGCTTTATGATAAACGTGATGACTTCAACTTTTCAATCGTCAACATCCTTTACTTATGTAGCAATATACCCTTATCATCTGCATATGGGTTTATGTCTCTCAGTTGATTCGATACGCAAGAGCATGCTCAACGTATAAATAATTTCTAAAACGAGGCAAGCTATTGACAAACAAGTTGACGAAACAAGGATATCAAATGTCTCGTTTGAAGTCATCTTTTCGCAAGTTTTTTTGTTCGATACAATGACTTATCAGTACATACAACCTATCATTGAGTCAAAGGCTGATGGCGTTTTTCATACTAATTGTTAGGCCATTATTTATACACTGAACTTTCTACGGATTTTTCTGGTTTTTGTTTCCCGATCATGAAGGAGCACACGGCGGGTGTGACCGGTCGGCAGGGGATGCTCACTCCTCCATGGCACCTGATCCCACCTCTAAATTTTGAGGTCCGTGTTTGCTCTTCTCCAAATTTGTATCGTTTCATTGGACTTTTGAGATTGAATACTGTTCGTTATCTTCATATTTCATAGATGTATTACCCCAGCCTCATGCTTGATTACTTCATCTTTTTTGAGAGATCCTACCTATTTTGAGATGATTGACCCCAGCTCCAAGCTTGACCCCCATATCTATTTTGAGAGATCCTATCTATTTTCAGAGGTCCTACCTATCTTCAGGTTCTTGACCCCAGCTCCAAGCTTGATCCCCATATCTCTTTTGAGAGATCCTATCTATTTTCAAAGGTCCTACCTATCTTCAGGTTCTTGACCCCTGCTCCAAGCTTGACCACCTTTCCACTGCCCTCATGACCCATAATCATGGGTTTCTCCAGGGTGAACTTTCCGCATTTGCCATACATCCAGTACTTCAGGTCTGACCCGCAGATCCCCACCGATCTCATTGATAGGAGGACTTCTGTTCAAAACGTTTTCAAGAACTTTGTACGAAATGCAACCGATTAACAAACATTTCGTTAAATATACTCCACTTAAAGAGGTATTCTTGCCAGGATTCTGACTAATTAAAACATTGAAGTATATTTGCATAAATGTCCAATATATTGAGATGTTAGGAATTTTTCATATATTTCTTGCCTTCTTACAACTGTACAACTTGACAATTATAGGGTACACTGAGTTTAAAATTTAGCAGGGAGTATATTTTTGGCAGAAAAACAGCGTAGGAAAATATCACAAGATTTGCTTTTCCAATTAACTATGGATAATGAATTAAGTTCGCTGTTTAAAACAATGAAAGTCCTAAATGTTTTTTTTTTTTAAGCCAATGAAAATTATTATTAGAAACTAGAAGTTTTGAAATATATAAATAAAAATTTTCAAACTACAGCCTTGTTATTCTTGTTAGACCTCATGTGGTATTATCTGTTTAATGCAAAAAGATGAACAAACATATTTTTAATAGAAGTGGACATAACATGGCAACAGTAATTTTTAATCCTTCATGTCGAGAAAAAACTTGATGACCTTGACCTGACTGTTACTAAAATAAGTCGGTTCACTGATATGATGTCATAACTTAGTGATATATTAGCTTCTTGATTGTGTGAAATTTAATGAAATTTTAAAGACAATAAATATGAAAAAAAAATTCATCCTTAAAGTAGAATACTGCTTTGTCAAAATATCTTTATGACTCAAAAGTTAAAAGGGACATACCATTTTCCTTTATTTCAGGCAGAGGAATTGATTCCTGAAAATTAGAATGAGAGATTCCTTAATGAGAGAAAATTATACAGAGAACTGTACTTAAAAGGGAGAGAGTTAACAGATTGTGGTGTTACTTAAACAAAAGCTATAATGAATTAGCTGCTAAAGATCTGTTATTTATTTCATATTTCCAAGTCGGATATATAAAGTCTGGTGGCCAATTGACCCATTACCGTTGAAATGATGGCAGGTGCGTTGACAAATATATTTGTACATATAGGATTTACATGAATTAAGCAGGTGCCCTAAAAATATCTTGCAATAATATCAACTTTTACAGTAGACGAGTGAAAAGTGTATTTGCAATTTCTTTATATAAAAAATGCTTACAACTCGCAAGTCATTTGCTCCATGTAGAACAGCTGCTATGTTCGCCATTGTTAAGCGATAAGAAATATTGACCCATTTTGATTAAACCCTTTAACAGTGTATATATCAAGGATGATTTCTAATGAAAGCAACTTAATAAGTGATAATAATAGATGTAAGAAATGATATCAATTTGTTCATCAAATAAAGTTTTCTGAAAATCTTTACATTGTTTATTAATATACAATGTAATACTAGTTTTGCACTCGAAACACATACATGTACGTTAACTTATTTTAAAACAAAGAAAACGCCCAGAGAACAAATTTTGTGCAGGTTCAATCATTTCATTTCACCCCATTCAATCTTATTTTTTTTTTTAATTTTTGAAAAATCTCTTTTTTTAGACAGGCCATGCAGTGTTTATTTTGTGTTGTTTATTATAAGATCTAGCTTAATATTTTATTTGTAAACAAATATTCTGTACTGTCTAAGTATATGTTGTGCAATCAAGTACTACGTATGATTAAATAAAAAATAAAACTTTTCCTATATGTCAAACATGCTACTTATAAACAGAGAAGTATATTATTCAAAATGTATGTGAAATAAGAACATAAAATCAACAACAACAACAACAACAAAATGGCTAAAATTGAAGTGAAAATCTTGTGTTAGCTTAAGGTAACTAAAGTTTAAATAGCAAAAATATTCTGGATAATATATACCTAATAAATTGGGGGTGGGGTAACTTAATAAAGTTTTTGTGATCTTCATGATGTTCTTTCAAATACCTGTTTGTGCTTTGTGCTTTGCTTTCTTTTGCCATGGTAGGGACTACCTTGAATAACGCGCCCGATAAGGTTCATATCACAGATCAAATATTACAAGTATCAAATCGAAATTTTGAATGTACCCATAAATATTAATACTATTTGTCTAATGTTCTTATGAGACAAAAAATATCGTTAAATCAGCGTTAATTATAAAATTACAGATAAATAGTGCATTAGAGTGAAAATAATTTTACTTTAACAATGACTCAATTGTGATTTAGCTATAATAAGTGCATGGTTTGAGTATTATCCTGAAGGGTTACGAACAAAGTCTTATTCAGACTTTAGATTCGTGATGAGAGTCGCCTAAAATGTACTTGTGTCACTAGGGAAGGACGACGTCAGACTTGCCTGAGGAAACCATTAGGTTCGTTTGTTGAACCTTATATATCATGGAAATAAAAATGCACTATCCAATTTAAATGATTATACCAACGTAAAATCAAAAATTTGGAATCAATACGCTCTAAGATGAGTATAAAATTAGCGGTGTGTATACAGGAACGTAGTATAGGGGCAGCTACCCCTTTTCCGAACATAATTTTTTATCGTTTCATCGTTGATTTAGTATGAAAATGATCATTGAAAGGCCAGTTGACCACCTCTTTTTGTTACGAAATACTTAAATCATTTCATGTTAATATTCAAAATTTTTCTCCCCCACCCACCCCATCCACTCCTCACGAAATGGGATTTTACGAGTTTGGACAAATATCCCTTTTAGGGCTTGACAAAGATTTTTCAGGTAAATTGTCATTTTTTTTCTACCCCCATCTTCCCCACTCACACACATACAACTTTAAAATACAATACAAATATTTGTGGCTTAACAGAAACTTTTATGAATGTCACAGCTTAAGTTATACAATGGATTATAAAATTTATCATCCCTTTGAAATGAATACAGTGTAATGATTTTTCTTGTGAACTTAACTTTTCAATCGCTGTCCCTGAATGGCCTTTTTTAAGAACAATTCAAAAGCAGTACATATATTTTAATCCTGATATACCTTATTAAATTAAAGCTTCATAATTCTTAGAATTTGCAGAGTGTCCAATTTACCGTCATTCTAGGTCTCCGGTGTCCGTTAATATTCCCCGAAATACAGGTTGTTTAGGATTCTATGAATTCAAGCCATAAATATCAGCATGTAAATTAGCAAAGTGAAATAAAGGAAATTGAACTTAGACTAACTTGACCACTATATTCTCTCTCTCTCACTCGTATGTAGTGAATTTAAAAATCTGTCTTGGCTTAAATGATATTTGAATGTTTTAAAAAGTTTCTGTTTAAGATTTGCTGACTTATCCCTTTGATGAGTTTTATACCTCTGTTGTAATGATCTCATCCTATGCCTTTTGACATTCGACCGTGTTGTTAGTTTATTATTAATTACCCCCAAACAGACCCAAATCTCAGATGTTTAAGGTATAGGTCACAAAGTTCATATGGAAACGTCGCTAGCCGGTATTTTTGACCCACAAAAGACTCTGTGCATTGTGTGATACACATTCATACCCTGCAGTTGCAATAAGTCTGGCCTTTGTAAACACCTTCCTCCTTCTTTACCAATTTTATTTAAATTTCTCTGGTTTCCGATGGTTGCACACAGTCAAGATGCAGTGGACTCCGTGTATGCGCTGGCTCTGGATTTTGATTGTCGTGATATTTTACGGCCTTCCTAGAACCAAAGGCCATGGATACCTCGTGGAACCACCCCAGCGTTCCTCTCTCTGGAGACATGGACTCGGGCCTGATAATTACAATGATAACGCCCTTAATTGTGGCGGATTTAAGGTGAGTGGCGGGATGGTTGATTCACAGACATTTATAATTAAAATGAAATCAACCAGTTTAAATAAAACAATCACTTTTGTAATAAGAAATGTTTTACACTTCCAATAAGGTAAAAACTTGGATGATATATACGATATTTTTTAATCTCACCTTTAATCATAACTTAAAATAATTTTAATATTTAAACTTTAAAGTAAAATTGATTAAAGTAGATTTTAATATGCAATGATAGAATCAATATTTAACGTTGCTTAAGTGATGAATATTAACTTGATTTGAATTCAGGGGTCATAAAGATATGTTTTCTCTGCTGAAATAAGTTCAAAAAATCAGAACACTTGATTGGAAGAAGGGAGGGTAGAAAATACACGTTTAATCATATATAATGTCTACTATTACTAAAGTATTTATAATAAATTTCAGATAATGTCCCACCTTACTGCTTACTTTTACGACCTCTGTCAGTAGAAAATTACAATTACATGCACGCACCATAAATCTTTCACGGTTTAGCTTTCTCACTATTTAGTTCACTAGAAAAAAAATTAAACTTAATTAGTATGATGGCATTTAAAATCAAAGCAATTGTTAAATGTAGAATTAGTACATTTACAAATGAAATGAGATTTAGATATAATGAACTGGATACAAAAGATTTTAAGGGGAAAAAATTAGCATTGTTCTATATAATTATTATATATATATATATATATATATATATATATATATATATATATATATATATATATATATATATATATATATATATATATATATATATATATATATATATATATATATTCAAACAAAATCTTATATGTCCTTATTTTTCGTCTTTTAAACTGTAACTCAACTCCAATAGTTATATAACTTTGTATGGAAAAATTATTCGTCTGTTTTAATAATTTTTAGACAAATAGGGCATTATGCACAAAAGAATTTATAAGGACGTGCATTAACATTCTTAAGATAACAAGTCATGTTGTAGATCCTAAAACAAATACATTCTTCAATGACATTAATTTACACATTCAGTTGCAAAGCTTTGATGAATTTACCTGTTGATTAAAAAATCCTTTAAAAGGTTATCGGTTTACACAACTCTATCTTTATGGCTATATGCTTTTTAATTTTTTTTATTCATTTTAAACATTCAGAAAATATTAATCAACTGCATTGTATAATTCAGTTGTTGACCTTTTACAGTGGACAAATTAATTGTGTCCTGTTAATTGTTGTCCGGTTGATGAATTATCTATAAATTATATGCTTCGTCAACTGGACGACTTGCTTTTAGGAAAGACGTAAAAGAATACATTTTGATGTACGATGATGTTTATAAATAGACCGCATTAGTAACGTATATCATCTGTAAACTTAAGCTGGGTCACTTTATCCCCACATATCTGTAGTCAGGTCAGGTACACCGGTATCCTGACCAAATCTATTTTTACATACTAGATAGGTAAAAAGTCAAAAGAGATTAAATTCTTTAAGAGGTAAAAAAAAATTAATATCATTGATATTCTTAAACATCTGGTTCTTATACTTTTAGGTGCTATTTAGAACTAAGTTTTTCTCCAGAAGAAGTTGCTATTTTGATCCAGGCTTTGATATCTTGTTTAGAGGTTGAAGTTTTTCACTCACTTCCTGGTATTTTTATAAAAGATTCTCTTTGATCGATCGCAATAAGGAGGCGTAAAACTTTTTTACTTTTAATCTACAGAATTTCATTAAAAAAATTCATCGCTTTAAACGATTCAAAGCTTTGGATAGAAAAGGGATTTTTTTCTGAGAAACTTACCATTTAACTAAAAAAACACGTTTGGTATTTTAGAATTGGACTAAGTACATGTACATGACAATTGTCTATCTTGTGCTAATGAAATAAGGGCTTTAATTGGAAGCTCTGATATTTGATATGGCACTGTATCTTTGTTTAACTTATTATAAATTATAATTCAAATAAGTCGTATTACAACAATTTTAGGTTCATTATCTCCTTGTACAACTTTTTTTTCTTCTTTTTTTAGGGTATCAATGGTTATAAAGTTTTGAGTTCTGATGCTCGTTTACTTTGTAGCTATAGATTCAATAGTCTTCTTAGCATGTATCAGCAGTCACGGGGGAAAAAAAAACTTCCCATCTAGACTTTATTACGAAAATGAACTAAGAGGCACGAACTTAGAGAACTACTTTAAGAGATGAAATTTTGCTACTAATTAAGAGTGACGAATGGTACCGTTTTTCAGTTGAAGAGACAAATTTTAATATTGTTTTTCATTTCTTTGGGGCGTCTCGACCTTGAGTTATCATTGAGGTGACATTCATCATTTTTCCACCGCGCAAAATACTTGTTTATTGAAGTGCGTGGAAAGGCGGTATCGACAGCAAAAATATGATGAGGACTGCGTTTAAATGAAATAGTTTGACCTCTTTGAACTCATGATAACTGCCCTGCTGATGTGTCACGTGCTTATGAAGCTATAAAGAAACATCGCTGTGGACATGCAAAATCATGAAAAAAACAAGCTTTATCCAATTCATCATCATTTACTTGCTGTGTCTATCTATCATACCGAACTTAAACAAATGTCCGAGACAGTTTAGCATATGTTTTGCATATATATGCTAAACTATAAGAATTGAAAAATATACGTCGTGATATTAAAAAGACAAAATGTGTTTGTGAAATACTGATGTCCCCTGTATGACAGCTTATGGCGAAGGTTAAAGTTTCTGAAATGCAAGTCAAACTCCAGGTCAAGAGATCAAAAATGTTGGTACCAAAAGAAAGGTCTTGTCTCGAGGAATATACCTGTGAAATTTGAAACCCCTAGCACCAACTGTTCAAAAGTTATGGCGAAGGTTTAAGTTTTTTAAAAGTAAGTAAAACGTCAAGGTCAAGGTCAAATGGGGCCCCAAGGGAAGGTCTTGTCACTAGTGATACACAATGTTCGTGAAATGTGAAAGCCCTAGAACCAAACGTTCACATGTAAAGACGAAGGTTAAAGTTTTTTAAAAGTAGTTCAAAACTCCTCGGTCAAGGTCACTGCCAAAATTGTTGGTATCCAAAGGGAAGTCTTGTCACAAGGAATGCACATGTGAAGTATGAAAGCCCTAGCACAAAATGATTAAAAGTTATGACCAAGATAAAAGTTTTTCAAAAGTAAGTTAAACCCCAAGGTCAAAGGGTGAAAGTGCTTGGTATCCAAGAGGGTCTTGTCACAAGGAATTGACATTTTAAAAATGGAAACCCTAACACCAACCTTTCCAAAGTTATGGCCAAGGTTAAAGTTTTTCAAAAGTAGGTCAAACTCCTAGGTCAAGATCAAAAGGTCAAAGTTGTTGGTATCCAAAGGAAGGTCTTGTCACAAGAAATATACAAATGAAGTTTGAAACCCAAAGCACCAACTGTTCAAAAGTTATGGCCAAGGTTAAAGTCTCATAAAATTTTGTAAAAGATGGTCAAACTCCAAGGTCAAGATCAAAAGGTCAAATATGAGGGTGCCCAAGGAAAGGTCTTGTCACAAGGAATGCACATGTGAAATATGAAAGTCATAGCTCCAACCAATCAAAAGTTATGGGCAATGTTAAAGTTTTTGCGGACAAACAGACAGACAGACGGACAGGGCAAAAACTATATACCCCCAATCTTCGATACGGGGGCATAAAAAAGGATTAAATGGTGATAATTAATTGATTTTTCAGTTGCTTGCAGATCCAAAGAAAACAGAATAAAATATTTAAAAAAAAAAACTTTTTATCTTACTAATGATTTTATTTTTATTTCAAAAGAAGACAAAGAGAATGTTTTAAAAGAGAAAACAATAAAAGAGATGTTGAAGATAAAGACGTGACAATTCATTCCTAGGGGATTGTATTAAATGTTACTAATATTCTGCCTTATTTCTAGCGCCACTGGACTCAGAATGGCGGTAAATGTGGTATTTGTGGGGACGCCTACGATCTTCTGCCACCCCGCCCTAACGAGGACGGTGGGTTCTTTGGAAAGGGGGTCGTAATCAGAACGTATCGCTCCGGTGAGGATATTGACGTTGTTGTCAATCTAACTGCCAACCACTTAGGATGGATGGAGTTCAAACTCTGTTCCCATGACAACAGTGACCAACCTGTCACCCAGGAGTGCCTAGATAAGAATGTATTACGTATACTACCCAATAACAAAGGGAAAAGAACCGTCAAGAGGTTTTATGTTGGGAAACAGAAACTGATTTCATTGAGGATCAAATTGCCATCTGATTTTTCATGCAAAAAATGTGTTCTTCAATGGAAATATAACGCAGGTAATACAATCAGGATTTCTATGTAGTCACAGACCAACATCTAGTACCAGGTTGATTCCTCTTCAAGGAAATAAATTTCAGCTTGATGCAAAGTTTACCAAAGAAAACATTTTTTTTTCATTCAGGTAACAGCTGGGGTTGTGGTGATAGCGGATGTGGTATTGGGCTTGGTCCACAAGAACAATTCTACAACTGTGCTGACATAAGCATCCTAAAGAAGATAAAAATCATACAAAAAGATTCAACAGAAGACTCAGAAGAAACCGACAACAAAAAATCTAGTGAAGATACCAGTGAAATATCGGATGAAGATATGGTTTCAAAATTGAAAAGAAAAGGAAGCGGAAAATACATTGACATGGTTAAAAACAAAGCCAATCAAATGAACTGTCGCCCTACTAAGCGTTGGCGTTCCGTTCCGGGAATGATTCAGTGGTGTTTACAAAGTTGTCCGAAATGTCCGACATCACATTGTAAATGTGAATTTAAAGAAGTAAAACTTTTAAACTTATTGGTATAATATAACGCCTTTTGAAAAGCAAAACACATTTTTAGAAACTTCAATAAAATCTATTCTTTATAAATGTATAATATTAATTTAATTTTATGTTATAGAGTTAGAGAGTTAAACAAAGTGGTAGTCCTTCATCTGTTGTATGTTTGTACTTGTGTCAAAATGTAACAGGGCTTGACGATTTTAAATTCACAGCAATTACACTCTGCCTTAAATAAATATATTGCTAATAATAAATAAAAATATCATGATTTTTACTATATTTACACACACTGCAATTAAATTTAAAATTCAAGTCAAATTATTATAGAGTTGAAAACCATATTCACTGCCAATCAAAATCCTAAAACTGATTCATTTGAAACCTTTTATCTTTGTCTTTCCCCCTCAATTATGTCTAATTATGGCGATCATTTGGTATTAATTAGATTCACCAATAATAATGTGACCACAGAAGAGCTTTCCTTCTTCTCTCATTAGTATGTAAGGCACAGGGCCACTGGAGAATTTACTCGGGAGAGTTTGGTTTTTAACTTATTTGATGAATGGACTGCTGAAGTGAAAAGTCTACCGGGACTCCAGGCAAAAGGGTATGTACAATGTATATTTTGATACTGTAAAAAAATATCTTCCGCTGATTTGATCGATTAACTGCACATGTCACGGTGCAGTGATCATTTCCTAGCTTTTTAAAAGTACTGCACTGTTTTATAAAAGGTATACCATTCCATTTATTAAAATATTGGATACTTATCGCGTTTTCAGTACTCATTGTAAGTACAAACGTAATTGCAATCAACTAAAATTTAAGTAGTTATTTCCTAAAAATTAAAATTTAAATAACAAAGTTATCTTTTTAAAGCTCTAAAGTAAATCCAAGAAAATAATGTTCTTTAATAGCTTTTAATCTTCAGAAAAATTGGCCGCCAGGGTGGTAGTAGGTTGAGGAGAGGGTACATGTCTGGGCTTGATATGCATAGTAACAGTTACATGTAGCAATAGTACTTCAGTAATATATATATCAGTTTTGAATATTCACTTCACACGAATTTGACATTACAGCATGTCATTGCTATAACAACAATTAAGTAATAATTATGACTGCTTTAAAATTGTAAAAAAAAAAATAAATAAATTCTTTATTTTGTCATATGTCGTTGAAGCAGGATGCCAATATTAATTATGCGATTGTAATATTGGATTATCCTCGTTGTAATATTTGACATGTGGCACTGAAATACTTATTTAGTACTTACTTTTTATACTTGATTAAAAATAAACTGGTCATTACCAGAGGACGCAGACAGGTCAGTCTTCAGCTTGAAGTAGTTTTATAAGTTTAAATTGGTGAAAATGTTAAGGTCCAAACTTTTTTCTATAACAAAAATACTTGGCTATGTTGTGTATTTATTGTATGCTGACTTTGAAAAATTACAATGTTAACTCACTTACACGACGGAATTTACTGTTATCTAAATGTAACTTGAGCATCACAATTCTCAGTAAGTCAAAATAAGTTTAAAAATATTTTTACCTTTAATGCCTACTATTCTATATGATATTAAAAAAATATCCTTGAATTGGTAAAGTGCATGCAGTTTCTTTATTTTTTGATCTGTTCATGTAAATGGGTGTTGAACATTTCTGCAGAAATCCTAATACTTATTAAACGTAATCTTCATCATTTTGATTTTACATCTCACTTAAGAATTCAAAATGGGATAAAAATAAAAGCAACCTAACTTGTTTGTGAAAAAAGGATTTACATAGTTTATATCTTCACAGCTTCTTTAAAAAGTATGCTCTACATAGTAATAGCATTAAAACACTAAAATAATTATGCTCTTAGCATAGAAATATCTTCAAAACTTGAACTTAATAAATTTGCATACATAGTAATATCTTAAAATCTTCTAAAATAAGCATATGCTAGAAATAGTATTATCTTTAAAAAAAAAAACCAATCAACCCCCACCCCACCACCCAAAAAACTAATGATTTTTCAGATACATATAATAATGTTGACCCCCCTCCATTTCTATGTTCATATAATCTACATTTTCTCAATATCAATATTTATTTCTTTACTACACTGACTTTTTGAATAATTCTTATGGATATAGTGACATACAAACGTACTTTAAACGTCTTTCTTTTATAAAAAAAAATGTTAAATTGTGTACTTTTTGAGGTATACTATACTGATTTGTTTTAGCCAAGCCATAAATCAGAAAGAATTAATGGGTCATTATACATGCAAATGATATCTCCGATAAAAATAACGATTTGTTTCTCAAAATAAATAATAATTATATTTGCAATGGAGCTATAACTCAATCGGAACTTCTGGGTCAATCATGAACCGTCAAACCTGACGGAAAACTTGTCAAAATCTTAAATCAACTCACCTGTCTCAGAAAGAGGTGTGGTTAAAAACATCAACAAATCAAAATTCGGTCACTTTGGTTTATTAATTTTTTTCCTGAAAGGCCAACCCATCATAGTTTTCTTTTAAGGGCAGTGCATAAAACTAGTCCTATTAAATACATTAACTTTATTCATAAACTTTTGTCAGATCGTTTGTAATTGAAATATGCATGTGAATTGAAACACTGACCAAAGAAACCATAACAGGGGCCTTTAACGGAATAAAATTAGAAGTTAACGATACAGATCGACAAATTATTGTACCCAAAGGAAAGATTCCAGAGCATATTGCAACGAATATTATAAAACTTAAATATTGGAAATGCGAAGAAATTACATCGATGATCATATGGCCAACAAGCATGTTTGAAACTGATATTTTTATAATTAAAAAAAATATTCTAACCCCGAGACCGATATACAGATATACATTTACTAAATAATAATCAAACTTTTATTTTTTAAATATTTTTTAAAAAAAATATTCTAACCCCGAGCCCGTTATACAGATATACATTTACTAAATAATAATCAAACTTTTATTTTTAAATATTTTTTTAAAGATTTCATTTTTATACAGTTTTATCTGATTTGCGTTCAGTTAATCATTTTTGTCATCTAAAATAGCTTTTAACTTGATGCCACTCTAATCATATGTCTCTTCTTTTTGCATTGCTTAATGTAATTTTAATTAAAAAGTGATAGATACATTCTATCTGAATATTTCGCAGATGAATGATTACGTCTCAACCGAATCTTATGATTTTCAAACATGTTTTTTTAAATTTCATTGCAGATGTTGAGCTTTGTTACGTCAGTCTTGCTGGTTGCAGTCCTGGTAGATGGCGCTCCAACGTCCACCATGGTTACGGCAACCACAGCCAGTGCGTTTGCGTCAACACTTCCAACAAACTTATCATCAAAAACAGAGCATGAACAGCAGGCAAAACCTACGGACCCACAAGAACTAAATCCAGAGATAGAAGTAAACAAAGTAAAAACATTCAATCAGTCAAAAGACACATTGGATTCGCATTTACTTAACGTATCTGTCACTGCAGAAAGTCCTGATAATGAATTTAATAACACTGCAGACGATGCACCGCGTGAACAACCAAAGATGATGATGAATAATAGCATACGCTTAAAAAAGACCAATGCAATTCGCTTAAAACAAATACAAAGTTTCCTGCAGAAGATACGAAAACTTCGTTCAATGATAAAAGAAAGGATTTCGAGTAACAGCACTGAAAACATTAATGACACTCGAGATGACACAATTCAAGTTATTCCAGGAAAAGTTTTGCAAAATATTTTGTCAAAATTCAAACAATATAAAGAACAGGTCAGTCCACCTACAAAAGTCAATAACACCTCAGAATTTTCTTCAGTTAATGCAAATTATTCAGTAAATATAGGAAGCGATAAAAATACAAGTTTATTATTGAATTTTGTACGCTTATTTGAAAGCGAATCGCCTATTATTCGAACAAGGATTTCACAAAATACGAATGAAGAAAATGAAGAACTTCTATCCGAAGATGATATCGAAGACCTCATTGAAGAAAGAGATGAAAACAGAGAAGAAAAAGATGACGATTATGATATTTCAGACTTTATAATAAGGGTACTTGGTGGGAAACAAGAACTAAATAATGTTGATTGGATGTATACTCCCGAAAATCAGGCAGAACCACATCACGAAGCAGACAACACGGAATGGATTTTTACGCCCGACAGAACCATGGAATCACTCCAGGAACCAGAAAACACCGAGTGGAATTTCGCACCCAAAAGTCATGTTGAGCCACTCCATGAATCAAAAACCATTGATTGGAAATCGGAACCCGAAAATCGGATAGAACCACATCATGAATTATTTAACCTGAAATGGAATTTCATACCCAAAAGTCAAGTTGAATCAGTTGCTCAAGACAAGAGAATAAATGAAAATGAAGAACCACACGCTCTAGTAACAGATCACGATTATCATTATCACACACCAAGTCATGCAACTGAAAACAAGGAGGCTAGTAGTGTTGATACTGCAGGGAATGTAGAAGATGGAAAGCTGGAAAGTCTACTCTGGAAAGATTTCTTCAGTTTTCAAATCCCAGACAAAATAACCAAAAGAAAAGAAGTGCCATCTCTCGAGCCTGAGAGAAAGATATCGAACCAACATTATAATGAGAAACATACTGAGATTGACGGAAAGTACGATTATGAGGAGGATGACAGCTTGGAAAATGAAGAGGATTATGATTATCAATCTAAGGACAACCCTGATTATACCGATGGAAATGAAGAAAAGCCTGCAAAGGCTAAGATGTTTGATGAAAAGTCATACGATAGGGGCACATCAAATGATAAGGCTACCTATGGGAAATCAGTTTCTGTTAAAGACATTGAATATCATGAAGAGGGCGACAGTTTTGAAAGTGGAGAGGACATCGATTACCAATATGAGGATATTCCAGATTATGTTGATGAATACGAAGATCGGTCTTCAAAGATTAAAGTACCTAATAAAAAGACATACAGTAGAAACCCAGTGAACAAGAAAGGTTCCTTTAAAGTACCATTTTATGTTAAAGACTTTGGGCATGATGAAGAGGGCGACAGTTTCGAAAGTGGAGAGGACATTGATTACCAATATGAGGATATTCCAGATTATGTTGATGAATACGAAGATCGGTCTTCAAAGGTTAAAGTACCTAATAAAAAGACATACAGTAGAAACCCAGTGAACAAGAAAGGTTCCTTTAAAGTACCATTTTATGTTAAAGACTTTGGGCATGATGAAGAGGGCGACAGTTTCGAAAGTGGAGAGGACATTGATTACCAATATGAGGATACCCCAGATTACGTCGACGAATATGACGATCGGTCTTCAAAATATAAATTGGTGAACAAAAAGCTATATAGCAAGGATTCCTCAAATAAAACGCCCTCAACTGTTGCATCGTATAAAGGTAAACATGTTGATAGTGATGGAGAAAGTCGAGAAGGTGATGACTATGTTGATGAATCCAAGGAAAACCTTTCAGCAGGGGGTATATGGAAAAACAAACGCTTTGTTGCAAAAGACGCAGTGGCATTTGCAAATAAGCTGAGAGAGGCTTATCGCAAATCAACCAAAGGAAGTGATTTTTTCCACCAATTAAACGATGACAACAGCGGAAGTGAAAAATATGACGATTACAGTAGTGAAGAGATTTTATCACCACATTATAAGCATAGAAAAGACATAAACTATGACAAGAGCGCAAGTGAAGAATATGACGATTATAGTAGTGAAGAGACATTATCACCACATCATAAGCATAACAAAGGCATAACAAGAACTACTTCTTATTCAGAGTCTCGAATTAGGTCTTCATCAACATCAAACGAACGCGATGGGGAGAGTGGAAGTAAAGAAATAGGAAGCGAAGAGATTGGTCACAGTATGGCACATATGTGGGAAGATGATAGTTCTGAATCTTACAGCCAGGAGTACTACTCGTCAGCTGAGGATTACCACAAAAGCAGTGAAGAACACTTGCCCATCGCTGCTCAAGCACATCCACCAAAGAATAATGTTAACCATTATCGCAATTTCTTCGACAAGCATGCTTGGGAAAGTGAACATCACAATAGATATCAAGAGGAAAGTAGAATCTATCATAAATATAATGATGATGACAATACGATAGAATACATCCCACCAACATTACAGGTCAATCATCTCCAAATCAACAGAATTAATTACGAACCAACAACTCCAGTTCCAGTGATTCCTCCTCAACCAATAATGTATAGAACATATGCAGTACCATCAACTACCCCTCCCCCTCCCCCTACAAATCCTCCTCAACCAATAATACACAGAACCTATCTGGCGCCTTCTCCTCCTCCACCTCCCACTTTTCCGCCTCAGCCGATAATACACTCCCCTACTCCTCCACCCCCGCCTCCCCCTTCTCCTCCTATAATACATAGAACATATATTCCCCCAACACCTACCACTCCTCCTCCTCCTCCCCCTTCTCCGCCTCGAACAATAGTACATAAAACTTATATTCCCCCATCTCCTACCCCTCCTCCTCCCCCTTCTCCGTCTCGAACAATAATTCATAGAACGTATATACCTCCATCCCCTACAACTCCCCCTCCCCCTCCTATTCCAAAGCTACAAATTTTAAGAACACCAATATTCCCTCCAACGTTTCCTCCCCCGACTAACCCTCCCCTTACTCTCCCTCCCCCCACACTTCCCCCTCCTAAAACAGAACCAATACCGAAATTACAAATTCTAAGAACACCAATTGCACCTCCTCCAAAACCTGAACCAACACCGAGGTTACAAATTTGGAGAATCCCTATTAATCTGCCACCTGTTCCTAAACCAGAACCGACACCGAGAGTTTATATACCAAACAAACCAATTCCTGCTCCTGCACCCAAACAAAAACAGCAGCATTTCTATTTTATGTTCAAACCAAAGAAAACGAAATCAAAGAAAGTGTCTTCATATGATGTCTTAGAAAACGAGATTATGAATGTCGACTTACAAAAGGCCTGGACCAATAGCTACAAACAAAATCTTAATAAGGGGTATTACAAAAGGAATCCGTACAGTAAAAGACAGAATTATGGCTACGGAAAAAATAGTTATGGTTACGGATATCGAGGCTTGAAGACAATATATGATAAAAAACCAGGATATGGTTATGGTTTGAACACTAGGAATTCGTATGATAAGAAAACAGGTTATGGTCACAGCTACCGAACTACACCTCATCTACCCTACAAAAGAAATCGGGGGTATGGATATAAAAATACTTACGGTAACAGATATTCTAGTCGTCCATTGTATGGAAAAAGATTTTCATCAAACCTATCAATAAGACCTTTTATCACACCGTATCCTATGCAACCTAATATCATCCAACAACAAGTCAACAAACATGTTATGGGCCTGAAGCCTCTTCTTCCTTTACATTTTCAACCTGTTATTTTTGGTTCATCTGTGCTACACCAAAGTCAGCTGTTCCAAAATTCATTGCAAAAGATAAATCAGTATTCAAAACGCAGGACGTCAAAGTATTAAACGTGTAGATTTATTTTGGTGTTTTATCTGTTTTCTATCATATATATTTATGTATGTATATAGTTATCTTTGTTACACTATTAAAGTATTAATTATAATTAAACAGTTGTTTGTTTCTTTTTCTATCAAAAGAGAAATTGATGATAAAAATGTAATATACATGTAATATAAGTTTTTATGTCATTTTCGTGGTTTTATATTTTTCCACTGCATAAGATGACTTTGCTTTAAGGAAATTTTTTTTCAGTCGATGGGCTTAGATTTGCAGAAAGAATTGAATATTGAAAATAAAACTCAAAATATCACTTTTTGACTCATATGTTAGATAAATTTCGTCCGTCTTTCCTCAATTTTTCACCATATAGCGTTTCTCATTGGAACAACAAATTCTGTCTTGCTTAATTTATTGCCAAACATGTCCAATCTGTTAACCTTATGATCTTGACCTACTTTAATTTTCCCTTCTTTTACCTTAATTTTTTTTTGTTCAAATTATTTTTTCTCGAATCAAAAATTTTCCTTCTGTCTGTCGTTACTATTAACGTTTTACATTTTTGACCTTCAAAGCCACTCGTTAAATTTTGTCCAATAATTGTCTCGAATAAAGTACCTACATAATATAGCTGCGTAAATAATACATTACTATTAGTGTCATTTATAAACTGCTATTCTTCTGATGTCAATTATAGAGTCCTTTGATTTATGACGTCACATAAAGATGTATGGAAACACAAAGGTGAAGAATAGGTGTAAATCCAAAACAATTATGCAACAACTTAAAGCTTATTGGAATAAAACTTGCCAAAAGATCTAAATCAGATTAACCAGATGTTTTAGGCAAAAAAGGCAACCTTTTTACACATTTACAACTTTAGCAATATTATTCCATAAAATCTAATTCTAAACAAGAGGCCCAGGGGCCACATCGCTCACCTGAGCACTGTGGCTAGAAAAAGAGGAAAAATCTGTTTAGTATTGAAAACCTTAAATGCATAAGTGGCCCCAACCTACCCCTAAAAGTGAATGGGAGGGGGGTATGATTTGAACAAAATTAAATCTACACTAACTAAGGATGCTTACATGATTTTTGAAATTTTTCTCTACAAGTTTGAACTTTCATTGTGGCCCCACCCTACCCCTGGAGGTCATGATTTGAACAAACTTGATTCTACACCACCTGAGGATACTTCCATATAAATATGACCAATCATAGCTTTGCTGTTCTTGAGAAGATTTTTCGTATATATTGCTACGTAAAACTTTGATTGTCCATTGTGGCCCCACCCTACCCCCGGGGGTCATGATTTGAACAAACTTGAATCTACACCACCCGAGGATGCTTCCAAATAAATATGACCAATCACAAAATTGCTGTTCTCGAGAAGAAGATTTTTCCTATATACTCCTATGTTAAACTTTGATCGTCCATTGTGGCCCCACCCAACCCCCGGGGGTCATGATTTGAACAAACTTGAATCTACACCACCTGAGGATGCTTCCAAATAAATATGACCAATGACAAAATTGCTGTTCTGGAGAAGAAGATTTTTCCTATATACTCCTATGTTAAACTTTGATCGTCCATTGTGGCCCCACCCAACCCCCGGGGGTCATGATTTGAACAAATTTGAATCTACACCACCTGAGGATGCTTCCAAATAAATATGACCAATGACAAAATTGCTGTTCTCGAGAAGAAGATTTTTCCTATATACTCCTATGTTAAACTTTGATCGTCCATTGTGGCCCCACCCAACCCCCGGGGGTCATGATTTGAACAAATTTGAATCTACACCACCTGATGATGCTTCCATATAAATATTACCAATCATAACTTTGCTGTTCTTGAGAAGAAGATTTTTGAAGATTTTTCATATATATTCCTATGTTAATTAAAACTTTAATCTTCCCCAACCTACCCCCGGGGGTCATGTTTTAAATAAACTTGAACCCACATCACCTGATGATGCTTCCATAAAATTTGACCAATCATAGCTTTGCTGTTCTTGAGAAGAAGATTTTTGAAGTTTTTTCCCTATATATCCCTATTTAAAACTTTGATCGTCCATTGTGGCCCCACCCTACCCTCGGGGGTTATGATTTGCACAAACTTGAATCTACACCACCTGAGGAATATCCATTTAAATATTACCAATCATTGCTTTGCTGTTCTTGAGAAGAAGATTTTTGAAGATTTTTCCCATATTCCTACGTAAAACTTTGATCGTCCATTGTGCCCCCAACCTACCCCCGGGGATCATGATTTGAACAAACTTGAATCTACACCACCTGAGGATGCTTCCGTATAAATATGACCAATCATAGCTTTGCTGTTCTTGAGAAGAAGATTTTTGAAGATTTTTCCTATATATCCCTATGTAAAACTTTGATCGTCCATTGTGGCCCCACCCTACCCCGAGGGGTCATGATTTGAACAAATTTGAGTCTACACTACCTGACAATAATTCCACATGAGTTTCATCTTTCCTGGCCCATTATTTCTTGAGAAGAAGATTTTTCAATAATGCCATTTATTTTTTGCTATTTCGTTATTATCTCCCCTTGGAGGGGGGCGTGGCCCTTCATTTGAACAAACCTGAATCCCCTTCACCCAAGGATACTTTGTGCCAAGTTTGATTAAAATTGGCCCAGTAGTTCTGGAGAAGATGAAAATGTGAAAAGTTTACGACAACGACAACGACAGACAACGGACAAAATTTGATCAGAAAAGCTCACTTGAGCCTTCGGCTAGAGCTAGAAAGCCTAAAGTGAAATTTCTTTGAGAAACTTGACGAAGGAACAAGATCTTTTTGAGCCTCAAAGGAGCTCTAGAGGAAAAATAGAAATTCGAAAACTTTGCCCATCAACATAAAAGTGTTAATCATATGCATAGAAATTCTACCTATTACCGGGTAATATGTAGAGAAGTTCCAATGTCAACACACATTTCGGAACACCCTTTTTAGCCCTTGGCATCAATTAGTCTAAATCTCAAAACATTATTGCACATCATTCTGTGGAACAGGCAAATTAAATGCAAAAAAGTACTTCTTGTATGCCATCTGTTTGTTTGTTTGCTTAACGTCAATGAGAATTTTTCACTCATATTGAAACGACACCACTTGCCGGCGGAGGGCTGCAAATTTAGACCTGTCACTCGGCACTTATGGCCTTAAAGCAGTGAGGGATTTTTTCGTGCCAGCACCTACGACAAGGGACCTCGGGTTTTACGGTCTCATCCGAAGGACCGATCTCCCCGTTACACAGTGGATTGGAACCCGCGACATTTTGGCACCAAGGGCCAATACCCACACAGTATAGAGATGTTTCAAATTTATATGACTAGCATGTCAATTTTGTTCTGAAGGAAAAGATTTTTAAAGGATTTTGCTGAATACCCCGATGTTTCCTTATATACCCCATGATACATACATGTAATTTGAAAAAAGGCCCATGGACCTTTACAGTCATCTGATTACTATCAGTTTCTCAGATTATGACCACTTCGGCCCATTTGGAACTGGTCTAGAATGTGGTAACAAAAGTATTACAGTTTCATTAGGACTCATTAGGTCAGTCATGTTGCTTTTCTCCAAGAAGTTCAGGAATAAAGAAGCTATTATGGAACATTTTATTTAAAAAATATCCAATTCATGACCAACGTAGCTTATGGGTGAAGTACGCATTGTAATCATGTAAATTGTTTGTCTATATATGTCCATGAGTAAAGATTTTCAAAGTTTCAATACATGACCAACTTAGCCCCACCCTTGGACCTTAACCTTGCAAAAATGATTTAATAACAATTACGGTAAAAATTAAGTCTTCATTATGATCCTGTAAACAATTTGTCTTTTAGATGTCCATGAGTAAAAAGATTTTAAAAGATATGATTAACTTTCAATATATGACAATTGTAGTCAAATTCTGAGGGCTGATTTGCGGGACCCAGGGAAAATGAACTTTACAATTAAGATAGAGAGTTATACACTCCTTGAAATCTTAAAATCAGTTTGCTCACTGAAGAGGGTTATATATGTTCTTTGTGTAACCATGAAACCATTTTGTCTGATACATGTCTATGATTAAAGAAGAAATCTTTAAATTTTTGTAATGTTCAAAGTTTGGTCAAGTCCAACACTGGGGCCTGGACGGAGGAGACACCTGGTCTTAAATTAAAGTCTATTTTAATTAATTGTTTTTAATAATCTGTTTCAATATCTGACATTTAATTTGCCAATCCAGATCAAAGTGTTACAATGGAGACAGCATTGGAATTCCTCAACCTTTATTGTTATATACCATGGATATGTATACTGCGTTGTAAACGCTTGAAGGTTCCGACTTTTAAAAATACAGATGAGTTAAATATTCATATTAAACTAAAGAGTTTTCACCTGTTAGTAACTATTCTCTTAACATTGTAAATGGCGTGAAGATTCCCGCTGAACCATACGGAGAATTAAAAAAATGAAAAGGTGACAATTTTTTGTCGTTGTATGATCATTATCCACGAATTTACGTATCCTCGAAACAGTAATTTTTACTAAATCTACGAAAATTGATGCCCACGAATATTAATGAAACATAGTACATGACCAACTCCCCCCCCCCCCTTTGGGCCCAAACCTTCGGCCAGTGGGCCATGAATTTTACAATTATAGTAGAAGGCTAAGTGTTCATAATAATCATGTAAACAGTTTATCTGTTAGATGTCCATGATTAAAGATGTAATGTATTTTCCACATATGATCAACTTACCGCCTGAATGTTGGACTCAGAGGACATGAATTTTCCAATTTTTATAATCTTAAAATCAGTTTACTAAATACACAAAAGTCCATAGGCCACAATGTTCATTTGCGTTACTCTGACTCTGATGTTCCTCATCAGAATTTTTTTCTCCATCCTATTAACATGAATTTTTTTGTTTCCCCACCCTTTCCCCTAGGGTCATATCATAACATAGATCCAAACAAAATGGACATGCTTCAATATCAATATGACTAACGTGGTCTTCTGTTCTGGAGATTTTATTTCTGGTTACCTGGATAAGATTAAAATTTGTTTCCAAGTTTTAGCCCCTATCCTATCCTCAGGGTCCCTAATTTGAAGAAAATAAAACTGAATCTACACAATTTGGGAATACTTTCACGTAAATACGATTTAAGGGACCCTATTCTAGATACGAACTGTTAATAATATATTCTCATGTAAAGCGTTGATCTCCTTTAGTGGCCAAATCCAACCTTTGGGGTCATGATTTTAACGAGAAGTCCATTTGCCACAACGCTCATCTGAGTCACTTTGGCCCTGCTGTTTTTCAGAGGATTGAAAAAAAATTCTCCGCCTACCTGCTCAACACATAGAGCTCACGGCGGGTGTGACCGGTCAACAGGGGATGCTTACTCCTCCTAGGCACCTGATCTCACCTCTGGAATTTCCAGGGGTCCGTGTTTTATACCCTCTTCACATATTTGTATTGTATGTGGATTTCTTGAGATCGATCACTGTTTGTTATCTTTACCTTTTACATTAAGTGACTCAGGTAGGCAGGAGAAAAGTTCAGCAAGTTAAATTAGCAATACATTAAGATGCTAGCATATCGATATGACTAAATATTGCCCTGCTTGAGATTTTAAAAGATCATTCTATATCTATATAATCCAATGTAAAACAACTCTGATCCCCATAACGATCCCATCTTACCCCCTTTAATCAGGACCTATACAAACTTGAACCTGCATTACTCGAGACTGTTTGCTATTTAAAATGACTAACCAAGGCTTCATTGTTCTCTACAAGATTTTTAAACTTTTTTTCAATAAAATCAAATTTAAATCATTGATCCATTATGGTAGCTTAAATCTATATCAATATGCAAATTATATAGATAAATTATTAAACCTAATTTGTTGTTTCTTGAAAATGATGCTGATTAAAACAAATAATGCAGCACGAGTTGAAAAAAGTTACCTGTACTAATGTTTTATGTTTTACTTTACCTCGAAGACAGCAGCATTTATCAAATGCAGGAATATATCATTAATCTGTGGCTAAAAATCAGGCTGATTATTTTATAAATAAGAAATTTATTATAAAGCAGGAGAAAAATTTCCAGTTACTGTAAAATCATTCTAATTCCTGAAGGGCCAATTGTCGCTTAAATTTACGTGACTTAATTCCGCAAACAATTGTCTTTTTTTTAATTAATCACCTTGTATGTTTCGAAATCGTTAAAGATGTTAAGTTGCTGGCAAGGGGTGCCCACAAAATCCATAAAAAATTGAAGCCCCACGAAATAAAATAATTCCACAGTAATCTATATCGGACATCTATATCAGTACTACATCTGGCATCAATATCATAACTACATTTTGCATCAATCAATATATGATCGTAATAAAATTTTAGTCAAAGATACATGGATAAAATCTAATATCTTCAGTTGGTAATTCAATTAATAACAGAATTAAAACAAACCAAACCTTTGAAATGTTTCATTGACAATTTGAATATTAAAAAAACTATGCGCAAAGCCTTGATTTGTTTGATACATGTGCAGTAATTAGTTTATATTGTTATACTTTCATGTTAAATAGTCAAATATGATTGGTTTAAAAATATTTCTTAGAAAGGACTTTTACCCTACCGCGTGCATACACCACACCCGCCGGGTCGCATTACAAAGCGGCGGTAGAAAATGCATGACGACGGGTAACAATATAAAACTGTTAAATGTGCAGAATGTTTGTGCGTCCACCGTGTTCTTTTAAATCATTCTAAATACATTCAGTATAACAAAAAATACATGTTTATTTAGCGTAACAAGTGAAATTGTTATCACGCGAAAACAATTGCTGACCTCGGCTCCGCCTCGGTCAGCTCTGGTTTTCGCGGGGATAACAGTTTCACATGTTACCCTAATAAACATGTAATATTTTTATAATACAAACTATCTACTGGTAAGTATCTTTATATTGTAAAACAATTAAAGATTGAAATCCTTGTAGAATTGATTTTAGCATTCATCTTTTCATGGCATAGCACCATTTGAAATAAAATTTCAGTTTAATTTAAGTTGATCATAAAATGGTGCTTTTTCTTTCCTTATTCTTTTAATGATTGACTGTAATAAATTCTCTATACGTAGATTCAGAGCCAGTTATATACTTTGCCGTTATTACGACATACAACTGCATAGCATTTGACGACATGAAATATTCCGTGTTGCTAGTTTTAAAATTATTTAAAAGATCAGCATATCCGACTTCTGAGCCAATATTGACGACAAACGTAGGCACCAAGACAGGGGTTAATTCGAACACTTCTTTCCAGGAAACCAGAAGACTTGTATTATTTCCAGTTATAACACACGAATTTCCTGAAATATATAACGAAAACTAGAGTAATAGAACATTTCAAAATCATTTCATAAAAATTGGAACTTGGGCATTACAGTTTCACCAAACTTTTTACTTGAATTTAAGCCTTTTGATGATCACAATGAATTTAAACCTTATATATTCATACCTGTCTGTAGAGGAACGATATCATTTATAGATATTGATCCATTTATAAAGTTACTTTCTTTCTTTCCTTCATTAGTCCCAAAGACATAAACACTGTAGTTTCTGTGCGTATCCAGTATCAATTCGTCAGCAGAAAAATAGTTGTGTCTCCCGATATCCCGCCAATCGTATATCATCAATTTATCGGATTTAATACACACGCTGTATTTTGTTATTCCGGATATGTCTTCGAAGGCTGGCCAGTGAAAATGAAGGGATGAAGATACCCGTTGGTAATTCATAGAATTTTCGACAGTAGCACTATATACCACAAAGTCGACGTTCCTTGATGGAGTACGGGGTGAATTAAAGGAAATTATTATGGGTGATTTTCGGTTCACTTCTGTTTGAAGTCCGATTTTGTTAAAACACTTCACTGATGAATAAACACGAGAGCCATGTGGAATTTCTAATAAAGAGGACCGACAAACAGAAATGTTGTTTGATTTTCTCCAAGTCTGTAGATTTTTTAAACCAAATCTATCGCCTACAATAAAAATTGCAAGTTGTTGAAATTAAGTAATAGATAAACCATCTATCTATTAAAGCAGTATACATTTTAATCTTACCTAAAGCACATTGACAATATTGGATGCCACTTTCATATTCTGCAAGTTCCCAGTGCACGGTTATGCAGGATTTAATCGATTTATTCTTTCCAATGACGTCATGATATTCAACAGAGACGTTTCTTATTGAAATGTTTGGTGGTGTGTGATCCCAAACGATAGGATCAGACTGAAAATATTGTTTAAGACCTGCATTATTTTCTACAAGAGCAGAAGGATACACTATTGTACCATGGGAAATTGATAAAAGAATCTTTTGAAATCTGAAAGGAGTAAGAGATTTAACTGTTTTTAACTGCCTTCCCTGCCAATTTGTCCCTAGATATATTTGTATTTCTTTTAATTCACTTTCAGGGTCTATGGCATTTACTGCAAACGAGAGTGAATTTGGAGAAATTTGCCTAATAACAATAGCTTCAGAAGCATTCGTCTCTGCATATGCACACTCGTATAAAACAAAGTCTAATGTCACATTCTCAGAGTTCAGAGAATTCACTTCAACAGCAACATCAGCCGTCTCTTCACTTTCTTGCATGAATACAAGTTCGGACATAATTTTATTTAAAGGCATATCATAAAGGTTTCCAAATACGTGAACAATTATAGAATGCATATTGATATCGATATCTCCTTTGACAGAAATCTTGTACAAAGTATCTCGCTTAAAAGAAAATGCATTTATTATAACTTCTTTTTCTCCCGCTTTTGTCTTTACCGTTGTGTTGATTTGAACTAAATAAGTTTTGCATCTTACTCCACAAGGTTTTGAAACATCTACAGTCACTGGTGAGGACGCAGAAATGGCACTACTATGGCCAGCTGCATCCACTGCTCTCACGAGCACGAAATAGCTTTTTCCATGAAGGAGAGAGAGACCAGTGAAAGTGTGCTTATTAAATATTCCTACTTCTTCTTCTCTTATTAAACTCTGATTAGAATCTTTAAGTGAAACAATATATCGATCTATAGACGATTCAAAGTCTGTAAATCCTTCCCATGAAGCACTCACTGCCGATGTTTCCGATAGCCATTTTGTATTGTGAAAAAAGTTAGATGTAAAAACAATGCCGGTTTCTGGAGGAGACAAGTCGATCGTTATACCATCTGACGTCAGAACAGTGGATAAACCGACGAAATTGATAGCTTCAACAGAGGAATAGTACTTAACACCAGGTTCAAGATTGGCAAAAGTCCATGTAAAGTTACTTGCTAATCCAACACTTTTAATTCCAAAAATCTCATAACCTGAAAATAATAAAAGAAAATTGTATTCCGTCAAAAATTAACGAAATTTTAATTTTATGTTTTATTTCTATATTTCATATTTCTTACCTCCTGGTGTCAAACCAACCATGAATTTGTATTCCCTGATTCCACTTTGAATGTCAGAAAAAACATCCTTCCAACATGAAATTATGTTTTTGGTGTTCGTAAACTCTTTATCACGTGAGCAATCCTTATCGGAATCAATGATGAACTTTCCTCTGCGGACGCTGGGTGGCGATGTGTCGATAATTATTGGTTCTGATTGAGTCAAAATATAGTCAGTGTTTGAAATCCATGTTTTCAAGTAAGCCACATATTCTCGTTCATGATCGAGTTGTCTGATTGGTTTCAAACAATGAACAACGCTTGTTTGTAAGCTCACGTCATGCCAAACCTGTTCTACCATTCTATCGAAAACCCCATAACCATGAGGCATATTAATCAATCCCATGCTCCATTCAAATCTAGAAACATTTATATTTTCTACGAACCAGCTGGCACCAAGACAACGTGTCGATGTTGTCCAACGATTTGAGTTACCTCCCCAAATACTTAAAGAAACTTTGGCATCACTTGCTAAATATGTCATATTTCGATGCTTGCAGTCTTGGGTGTTAACAACCTCATGACATTTTCCACCAAGTATTGCGCATGTGCAATCATTGGTACAATATGATACATCACAAGAATGTCTTTCCATGATGAGCTCTCCGTTTGTATTATTCTTATCTTTCGAAACTGTAACAAATGTCACTCGTCTCACTGTACCATTTAAGTTAGCATTGTTCATTGCCCAAATCGACATAACAATCTTTTCCCCATTCGTAAGATTGCGAGACAAGTTAAAAACACCTTGTTGCAGAGAACTATCATTGCCAATATGTGTAAAAGAAGCACTTCCCATAGTAAGTTCTAAACCATTATATGTCTCGCCAACAGTTATAAAATACGATTTTATACCAGATTCTGGATCACTATAGTTTGCCCATCTAAAAGTTAATGTAGAGTTAGAATTAAACCAGGTACCTTCACCTAGCACATGGCCATGAGATGGCGGAGTCCCATCAAATAAGACAATATCACTCTTGCTTGTTGTACATAGGCCTGCCATATTGCAGGCAGTGACAGCAACATAGTAGCTGTCACCATCCGACAACCATTTTTTTAAGGGAAGAGATTTTACGAAAGTTTCATTTCCTTCTACAAGGATATTTTCTATTTCGGAATGACCTCCTGAAAGAAGCTTCAGGGAAAGTATGGACGATTTGATCGGACTCTCAATATCGGTAAATCCCCATCTCATGCGCATCACTGAAGAATCGTAGATGATGGACGAAGCATTCTCACTGTTGAGAAATCTGGGAGATAGTGTTACTTTAGGAGGCGAGTCGTCTACGATAAAGCTGTGGGAAGTTTGCATTGTTGAAAGGCCAGCTTTATTGGTGGCTTTTACAATTATGAACAAGTCTACGTTAATGGGTAGTGACAGGTTCAACAATAAAACAGATTGTTCCATTCTATAATTTCTCCATCCAATGACATTGCAATTTACTTTGTCTGTTCCTATGCAAACCTCATACTGTAATATACCAGACTGAATGTCTGCAAAGTTACCCCATTCCACCGATAGGAAAGATCTGTATAATGATAAAAAGGATTTACCGCCGGGGAATATCTAACTGTGTCTTCGATAAAAGACAAAACCGAACCATTTTGTATGTTTCAAAAAAGCCGAACATTACTATGTCATTTCTAATTAGTTCTTTGTTAATGATAATGTATGCATAATTTCAATATCTAGATTATATTGATTCCACACACTTCATTGTTGTGAGAGATATTAAGTCTTTTGTACGTGATTGATTTTTTGTATAAACGAATAATATTTTTGTATATAGTATATTTGGTTGCATGTCTTATGTATAAAGAGCCGATGAAAAATAATGAAATATTTTCTATTTATGTAGTTAATCACAGTGTCGTTATATTTTCTAATTTTATAAAAGCGTATGACACAAGAACATACTGTATACAGGGAAATTTTCACCCCCGTTTTATTTTCGCCCCTTTCGCCCTACCCTCATTTGGGCGAATTTAAAACGGGGCGAATTAAAGGAATACAGTATTATTTCTAAAACAAAACTATGACTGGCCGAATTTAAAACGGGGCAAACCTGTTTGCAAGTGTGAGAGGGCGAAAATAACACGGGGCGACAATAACCCTGTATACAGTATTTGCAATTTACAAAATGTTTTTCATGATAACAAGTATTGTGTGAAACACGTTGTAAAATTTTGAATAACTTACGTTTGTGCTATATATTTAACATTTTCGGGTCCTACAGAAACATAACCTGGAATGGGAGGAGTGAAGTCAACAATAACGCCATTTGAAGAGGACTGACTACAAAGTCCTGCAGCATTACAACCCTCAACCGTCGTGAAATATCTTATTCCTGCAATAGGTTGCTTCTTCCATGCCCATTCTAGAAGAAATTCGTAAGCTATATTCTGGGAATGTTTACATTATTATCCTTCAAATAATTTATCAATTTAAAAGGTGAAGATGATGAATTGTGATCAATCTCATAAATCTAGTATACAACAGGAATCGTGAACAGGACAAAAACACGGGCCCTGGAAACATCAGAGTTGGGACCAAGTGCCTAAAGGTGTAAGTATCCCCATCCCACTCGCCATAAGACCTTTGTGTTGATCAGGTAGTTTAACCAATGCATAGTAACATAACATTTACCTCTGCTTTTGAAAGGAATAACAATGTACATATTTAAATGTGAAGTATCAACTTACCTGTTCGTTTGCCGATGAATATAAAGCTGACAACATCAGTCAATCCGTATTTTGTACCAAGTCCTACCCTGTAGAAATCTAACGGAGAGTGTCCATCTACAAACTCAGTCCAATGGGCACTTATTTCAGAGGATGTTGTAAACTCTTCATCAACCTGTTTGAAAAAAGATCTAATTTTCATAACAGAAAGGTATATCATTTTGTGTCATGTCATGTTGACTACCGAAAAAATAGAACACTGTTTAAGCCTTATATTCTTACATCACCTTTAAAATACATTTCAATTTAAAAAATCAGTGTAGTATGGGTGTTCTACTTCTAAATACAAAAACCTTTCAACAGGGACTGATTTTCACCATTAATCGGTCAAAATTTCATCATGCATCAGGTTATGTATCATTAGGTACCATATAAGATTTTATGTTAAGTTGTTATATTTTACTTCCTGGCTGGTCGCACGCATGGCGCAGTGGTGGCGTCTCCATATGACTAAGTATTCTCGAGAGGGACGTTAAACAACAAACAAACAAACTTTCTGACTGGGGTTTTATATATATATATATATATATATATATATATATATATATATATATATATATATATATATATATATATATATATATATATATATATATTCCCCTACAGTGAAACAGGGGGCGTCTATATGTTTCTGCTCCCACTGTCTTTCAATCAGTCTGTTTCACCTGCTTTTCTTTCTACACGCTTGCAAATATTGGGTTGATGTTTGAGTATGAAATGATATATGACGATAAAGAATAATGACCATGCTAAAAAGTCCAAATTAAGAAGAGAAGAAGCACGAACCCCTGAAAACATCATAAATGGGTTCAAGTGCCGTAAAACAGTAAGCAACCTCTTTCGACCGGTCACTCCCGCCATTACATTTGCCATGAGCCCTTTGCCTTGATTGGTTTATCGAATAAATTTGTAGTCAATTGAATACCGAAATAATGACCTAGCAACTTGTATTAAAAATGTCAGTCAACATTTAATCAAATGAAAGTTTGTGTTTACAAACTAAGTCATTGTATCGACCATAAAATTGGCAAAATTGTAAATAATGATAACTGAAGCGTAACCATTTCATAGAACTGTATGAAAATCGTGCTTAATATGTTTTAGATGAATAAATTTCCATTTTTTTTCTTTGAAATTGCGTTCTTTATGTTTCCATTTATTGAAAACTCAGAAGAAAAACACAACTGGATAGAAGAGCGAGGTAGGGCATTCGGTATGGTATCTGCAAGATGTTTCTTTAAAAATAAAACTATTCAAAAACTGTTATTTCAGTTGGTTGAAAAGTACTCCAATTAGATTGAGGAATGTAAAAATGTCTTCCGTGGGTAATCACGACATTTAATACACCTCATACGACTATTGCAAGAGTTACCGTAAAATTGTGGCAACTGAAAGTGTAATGGACCGGATACGGATGCCAAAGCACTAAGTGACTACTAGGTGACATGTAAGACATTCGACATTATTTGTGAGACATGGACATCATCGCTGTTGATCAATCTCTCTGACCACCATTGGTAACTATCAACCTTATATCAGCGCACAAAAATGCGCCACCGACTTCGGGAAATTAGTTTGCGCTCAAGAGGGCCATTTCAGGGAGTTGTAATGAAATGAAGACATCTACAAATTCAACTGCAGTAGGCAAGACGGCAATTTAGATTTCCTCGAGTCGATGAGGCAGATGTCGTATTTGCAGGTGAAATAAAATTATGGGTGCGTTGATAATTTTATCTAGTGTATAGTAACAATGCAGGCTTATTCCATTTTTCGATATATTTTGCTACTTATCCGTTCAGAAATAATGTATTACCTATAAATTTCTCTAGCTTTTAACAAATCATGACAATAATGACCACTTTTAATAATTAAAAAAAAATCTTATTCTTTAATATGACAGGATGTTCTACATGTAACTACAGTGAAATCGCCCTAGATATTGAATAGATAATTTAATTGCAGTGAACTCATGCCTAATATCTCAAAGACATCCATGAGACATCTAAATCAATTCAATGATTAATGAGTGTAAATAAAGAGAAGATTACATGGTTCATCAACGGACCATCCCGAATAGCGCCTGGCTCTGGAGGGGAACTATCAGCAACAATCGGTAAAGAAGACACTGTAGTACGAAGACCAGCATGGTTCCACACCTGTTTGGAGAAAAAACATCAGATAAAGTTAACCTTTTGAAAAATCGGATTTTTTGAAGAAAATAAAATTTTTTTTTTACTAATTTTTTTTATCTTTTAAGCAAAGAAAACGTAAATCTTTTAAGGTGTTTTTGATTACCTGAGCAAAAACATAATACACATGTCCATCGTGCAGTGATTCTTTTGTCAAAATTTCTACATTTGGTTGGAAAGATTCCGACATTGACAAAACATCACTCGAATTTATTTGGCTACCAATCCCAACTTCAAATTTCTCGACACCACTCTCAGGGTCTTCAAAACCAGTGCAGTGGACAATGAGAAGACTTGAATTCACGTAGAGAAGATGATTCAGAAGATGTCCAACATTAACCGTCCCCTTTTCAGGTGGAGTTTTGTCGTAAACATGCGGTTCAGAAGATCCAATGATACAATTCAGAGCATGATCGCAAGCTATAAAGAAAGTAGTTCTTAGACTTAAGTGTACACATTATACGAGATATTATCATAAAGTTCGTAAAAGTAAAACCACATAAGGTACACCAATGAAATCTGAAATATTTATTAAACAACATCTTTCCTCTCTAGATAATAAACTACAACACATGTGTTTTTATTGATTATATGGTTAATGTTTTCGTAAGCAATGGTATGACAACGTCTCACATCCTCAAAATACGACGTATTTCTGCCGTGAGTCTAACAGAGACAAAATAAAATCTTCTGACATGAGCATTTGTCATAAATTTTTCAAAATGATTCAAAGTGATTCAAATTTTATGCCATACAATTATTCGAAAATATTTCAAATTTTCACCTCATTTTGTCAGTTCTATTATCGTAAATACTAAATAACGAATGCTAAAAAATGAGGGGTTAAAATGACGTGGGGGGGGGTCATTTCCTACAATTTATATAGTATCCCTTTGGAAAAACTCGCTTATATTTTTGAAATGTTTTAAAAGACTAGATATAGATGAAATTTGTCCAGATTAGCTGTTTTAAGAACAGGTGCTACAAAAAACTAAGGTTGTCTGGATAGGTGTATAGTTTTGGACCCATTTTGATTGTAAATGATGCGAAGAATAAATTTCTAAATTATTAAGAAATTATAACTTTCAAAATTCTACCTTTCTGCAACCATCTTTATTAATCTATACAATTTTTTGTCACTTTAATTCCTATTGTTGTAAAACTACCAATGAAAAAATTTAAAACTTTGCTGTTAAATTTATTCATTTTACTTATGTAAACATGGCTTAAGTTGAGTTTTTTGTCAAGATATTTAATAAAAGTTTGTTTGCATCATCTAAAAATGACACAAAAGATATAGAGAGAATTTAATTTGTGGCCAATGTGTTCAAAGTCAGTCACTTGAAATACCACTTGTGACCGGTTGACAGGGCATGCTAACTTCTCCATGGCTCCTGATCCTACCTGATCCTACCTCTGATGTTAGAGGTCTGTGTTTGATCTGCTCCCCGTGCAGACCCATCTAAAATATTGTGCTTTGCAATCACCGCTGTATTAAATTGATAACGTCATATAAAAAGGGGTTTCAATCAGTACTAGTATTTAACTCTAAGGTTCTACGTCAAGGACAGAGTATCGAGGAGAAAGGACTGGATTTTAAGATGCAATGGTGTGAACCTTGTCGAACGCCATAAAACGGAAAGGAGACAGTGCAGGTTGACAATGAAAAGGCTTTTGTGTTTTGTGATATATTGACAAAATATCAATTTATCAAATTAAAAATTTCACAAATATTTAAACATTTGTTTTTTATGCTCCGTGTAAAGTATATAAGCACAACACACACAGTATTAATTTCATGGCACCAGTCAATTTATTTTTGATAACATCTCGTATTTATTTAAACAGACTATATTTTTAACAAAAAAAATACAGTACCTTTCACTGAAAAGAAATAGGACATCCCTCCTACCAAGGTTAGGTTTGTAAGAAGAATTGAAGAAGACAGTTGCACATTTCTAAACTGTAGTACATCTTCCTTCTCCCTTTCAGTGCCTATATCAATTTTTAAAAATATGTTACAAACATATGCAAAAAATCGTTTTCAAATTAACAGCATTGTCATACAGATCAGAAACTAATCTTCATAATTACCTACTGCAATTTCATAGAATCTTATGTTTGATGGATATCCAATTTTACTGTAAAAATCGTCGTTTTCAAATCCCTGCCAATATACGTTAATAAGACTGTCATCAGTTATAAACCCTTTTTTCTTGGTATGAACGTTAACCTTTCCAATTGCAGGTGGTTCTAAATTAATTACAAATCCATTGCTACATCGATTAACGGTAAAGTTGGCTATATCATTAACACATAGATAGTATATAACATTGCTTTTCAAAGGCACTTTTGAGGAGAAAGTTATCAGTCCCCCTCTTCCTGTTTTAGAATATATACATTCAGGATCGTCTTCGCATCGCAATGGTATACGGGGAGATTTCATTACACTCCAAAGAATTTCTTCATTTCCTATCCCGATCACAAACCCCCCTAACTCAAAAAAGTTTGATTTAAAATCTACTTCGTTGGAATGCAGATCCTTTAATTTGCCTCCTATGTTTTTTGTATATTTGTATGCTTCGATCTCCAAAAAGAAATCCGACTTTGCATCAAGATCATAGACTACACTTTTACTAAAGCTATTTGGATCTTGCTGTACATTGATTGGTGAGCATGTCTTTGACATCCGCCCTGATCGACAGTATCCTTCTAAACATGCATGCATATTCTTATGAGGATGGTTCGGAAGGTTTAAACAAGACATCACCTAAAAAAAACAATATTTAATTCATATATAATTTAAATAAGGTTAAGTCAAAATATTAAAATACAATACAATTACAATATAATTGATCACGTCTAAAAAAGATAGCTACTGTTTGTTGTCCGGAGCTGTTGAGTTGTATTTGGTATTCAGTCAACTGTATATGCCCCTTAAAATCGCCAAATACTGCCCATCTATAAAACGTTGGGGCAGATTCTACAGGAAAAGAACATTGAAAAGACTGAAAATTTAACTGAAGATTAAGGCAATTTTCATCTTCCACAATAAGTTCAGCAGACAAACTTCCAAAGTGAGGACCAAAGGATTCAAGGAAAAATCCGTCCGACGACAGACCAGAGACGCATCTGTTTCCAAAACACGGTTTTATAAAAACTTTGTAAAATCCTTGTTCAAGAGAATGATATAAGCCATTAAACGTATACGCAGTACTTTTTACGATGGAGTTTGACATAATAGTAACGCAGGAAGAATTTGGATTGTTCTCACAAGATAAAAGTGATATCAGGTAATGACTTATGAATAGTTTTACTCTTGCATCAACCTCCCAGTTAGCTCCAATCTCATTTGAAATATCTTGCACATCAACATCTTCCTCACAACGAAAAGTCTGAAAAGCAGGAAGTTTAGATTCCTCTATTTCATTTGTAGTAATTTCAATGACTGGATAGTGTTCTAATGCAATGAAAGAAAATGACTTAATACGCCTGGACAGGAACAAGATACCGTCGCTTTTAATAGTAAAATTAACAGAAGATGTGTTAATAAAAGTTGTATAGGTTGATCCTACTGTTAGAGGAAATGACACGTTGAAAGAAGAAACTGTACTATTTTGAAGAACTATGTTCACATTCTGTTGGAAGAGAAGCTCTGAAAATGAACATCCCGGTCCGTCATTTACCTTCAGAAATTCATCAAACTCATTCACATCAACAATAATGAAGCCATCAGTCGACATTGAAATAGCCCCTCGTGAACTTAATACCCTCAATATGACAAAATATTTAGTATATTTTGCTAATTTTGTGGTGGATTCACATAAGAGAGACAGTTTAGTGGTTGATGTTCCATTAATTTCATGCATTGCAACCACATCAGCAGTTGTTTTACTACTTCCAATTCCTACTTCATATATGAGTGATTCTTCATGATTAATATCCTTCCAGTACAAACAGTATCTGTCTAATGTAAGAGAAACATCTACATCGTGTAGTTCATCATTCAAATTTGCTGACGGGTCTATGTCATAAACTTTTCCACGGGTGGGATAGAATTGTGAGGGAATGCTAAAGTAATCAGAGAGAATTGTACAATGATGACCAGCAGTGTTGTATACGTGGAACTCAAACTGATATTTACGGCTGCTTCCACCATCATAGTGTTGCAATTCAGATACTGGAAAAGTAAAGCAATTTCGGTTTTTGGAACAGAAACCTCCATTAGTCCATTTCCTAAAACTGGTCACTCCGGCAGCGCCTCCAGAAACTAAAATTATAATAGCATTATCATAAATTTTTGCATATTTATTCCGCTATAAATTTCAATTATAAGACGTATCATGACTTCTTAATTGTACGAATAGATTTTTGAAACGAATTAAAATGAAATCGTCAAGATAGCCTTGACCTTTCAACGAAGACAAAAAGCATTAACGTTTGCATACCGATCCTGTAGTAAATTTTTTGAAGTGCTTCTCTTTGCTCCATGTCTTTGAAATCTTCAGAAGTCCATGTTACAGTTATATTTGTCTGTGTTACTTCTGTTATTGGTTTATTCAAACACATTGGAGGTGTTTCATCTACAATGATTGGTCCTACTGGAATAACAGACTCCAAACCTGCTTTATTTACTGCTTTGATAAAAATATAAATTACAGAATTGCCTGATATCCCAGAATGCCTCAGGCGGTAGAAAGTGTTGTGATGAGTCTTTGTGTACCCACTGACGTCAGGAGACACCACTGAAGAAATTGAAGATCCAATTCCAACGAAAACGTCTTCAATTTTGCTTTCTTTATCAGTAATATTCCAAGAGATATCAAAGAAATCACTTCCAAGATATAAAATTTTTCCCGAGAAAACATTTTGCTGACAGGCATCATCCGGGAAACTTTTAGTGGTAGAAAGTGGTAAAGCATTCAGTAAGATTGCGTTGTGTCCATTCAAACATGTTTTATTGCACGTTACAGCAACCTTCGTTAAATTTTCAGTTACAAACCAATATGTTCCGTTCGTGCAGCCCAGCGAAGAGGAGACCCTCATATTGCGAACTGTCATGTTAGAAATAATGGGTGGAGTTCTGTCTAACCGGACACCATCACTGCATACCACTTTAGATGGCTCCATTGCATTGTTGAAAGCAATAACTGATGCATAAGTTTTACCCGAATTACTCAAAATAACTTGCTTACTCATTTCTTCAATGTCATAATATTCAATACTGGACCCTGTTGGATGCCATAAGTCTTCTAATCTAAGACAAGAGTTTGAAACACCTACTCGATAAAATTTTATTCCACTTTCGTGATCTACGAATCCCTCCCAGTTGATGTTGATAGTCGGACTAGCAGTGTAATCAATATCCGGAGATCCAGCAACACCCTCCCTCACTACTCCCGTTTCTGGAGCTGACTCATCAACAAGTATAAAAATGGTTTCTTTAGTTTGTAGTGCAGCATGATTCATAACTTTAATTTCAATGACATACTCTCTATGATGTTTCCCAATATGAGAATTGTTTGCCACTAAAGAGTTCATAATGAGCGTATAATTTAAAAGTTGGCAGTCTCCCACCGAAGGACAGTAGCAATCAATACCAGTAGTACAGCTCTGAAATAAAAGATGTGCATTAAAAAGTATTTAATAATAGTAATATTTAAAAGTCATAAAACAGCAACTTTTTACAGATTTACATTAACCAAACTTTCATAGCTTTTGAAATGACTCATTCTCTTTCCTCGATAGCTCTTACCGAAATCGAGTACACGCCAAGGGCACCATGTCCAAATTCAATTTGATCATCTTTATTCTTGATAGACCAATGGACACTTTTTAAACCACTATGTTCATCAAATGCCTTAAACTTCAAAACCATTTTTGAAAGATCTTTTAAACTGTGAACGAAAATCTCCTCCATTCCATCTCGTATCAGCCACGCATCATTAATTTCCGGTGGGGATGCGTCAATGTAATGAACGACGCCATCTTCTAACTGATGTCCTGTTATGTCAAACGCGGTTATTTTGAATGATATTGTGTTTCCATCACTCGTTCCAGAAACGTTGATGCACAGGCTCTGCTGAGGAAAATTTGGCACAATGCGGTTATTTATCACAGAGGTAAAATCCTTTTGAACGTTGAAGTGAAACTGAGTAATTCCGTGAATATTAGTTGTTCCTGAAACATTGAATACCCCGCTTGTCTGTTCATATATGCCTATAAAATGGCCATGAACCCCTGGATCAATAGGACACATTGGATTGTAATGTATAAACTTGTTGTTATAAAACCTGTTTGTCCAATTGTAACAGAGTTTACTGTGATTAATTTGCCAAATAAAATTTGTCTTTTCCGAAGCTGATGTCACCCAAAGTTTATTTTTTTCATGGATTTCAAGTCTGGAAGATGCATCATATAGAACGAACCTGCGAGCTTGTTTTGGATTAAGCGCTACATCGACGACCTCGACAACAACGCCGTACAACATAGGATTTTGAGTGTGGGGAAGATCTATTAAAAAATTGGAACAGTTATCACACATAGTTCGGCCAATTTTTGAGGCATGCTTCATTTTCAGAATTCCGTTACTGTACTCCATTTCATGGAGGTAAATCTCAAAATGGCTAATTCCAGAAGAAAACTTTGAAATTGCTAAGACGGAATCAAAATCCTCCCAGCCTGTGAATGAGACATTAAGTGAGGTCATATTGGTGATTTCTGCAGATAATTGCATCGGAGGATAACTGCATGAACCAATGTCCGCGCAATGTCTTGGAGGTATATCGTCAAAGAAGTAACACAATGCTCTCTCAGCTTCTGTGGTGCCATATGTATATTTCCCAGTATGAAGAGTAATATATCCTCCAACATTTGCTTTGTATATCAAGCAAAACCTAAATAAATAGAACAAGAAACCCAAAGTCGAGACACCTTCTTGTCACATTTCATTCTCAGTTGAGTGAATATGTAGTTAAAATAAATCAGTTTATTATGGCCCTATTGCTCAAAACACTACCAGTTTTCAACGATTCTCATCCAGAAATATACTGATGCTTGATATCAGATTAATAAATCATTGAAATTTGGGGGGAAAAATTAAATGGTTACATATCATTTTGACAGTGTCTTGGCAATTCAACTGATAGGCATTTTTTTCTCCTCATGATATTTTTTAAACCATTGCATCAGTATTTGAACTGAGAACAATTTAACTTTTCATCCTTAAGAAAATCTGTGCACAAAGATGTGATCAATATTAATGTCCACTACATGGAAATGTTTTTGATGGTTCCTTGCTGTTATCGAGATTTTTTAGAATTCTTTTCACCATGTGTGGAACCCCCTTGTACCCACATAATACACATCATCCCCTGCTAAAATGAGTTAAGCGAACTTTGGTATACAGATATAAGAACTTTAAAAGAAATTTTGTCTTTTTATGCCTATACATGTTGGAAAGAGTTTTAAATGACTCCAGCCGATTTTTATATTCTAAGATATTTATATTCATTTACTCTCTGAAAGACTTTAAATCACATAAGCTTATCAAATCTTGGCATTGGTGAGTTTACATGAAAGTGAAGCAACATCCTGTGTAATCATAACTAATATTTCTGTTCATGTATTATGTAATACCTTTCGCTGTCATGGAAAATAACTGAATTGGTCATGTTGACGTCTTTTGAGACTAAATGCTGGTAAACAGAGGAGCTTTTAATTGGACTTCTTCCAATAGTTTGATCCGTATCTACATGTACAATATAACATGATATTTTAGAAAAAAAACTTGATGATTACATTGAAAATGTTTATTTATTTTCAAACATCAATAAGAAGACATATTTGTTTTGTTTGAATGGACGTTTGAGCTTGAATACTGTTCGTTATCTCGATATATTTCATATTATCTTTAACCTGATTTAGCTCTTTTAACAAAGTCAATGTTGGCGTGTAAGACTCCGAAATGGAATTCTGTATATGAGGATAGTGGTGGCCGGAACCCTCTGTGTCTTCCGTCTATCATCACATGCGTATGAATAAATTCGGGTTGATATTTTCCGTAAAAATCCAGTTGGTTTGCACAACTAGAAGATCCGTTGGTTGGAGATTGTGCCTTCTCTCCATAACTATCTTTAATTTCCATTTCACAAGTCATGAAATCAGGAGTAGTATAACCTAAAATAAGTTATTAAAATGATATTCACGTAATTTCAGAGCTGTTGTAGTCATATTGAGCGTTGAAAATATCAACATGCTCAAATGTGTTTTAAAATTATTCATATTGAGTTAGAGATAAAAATCAAAGAAGTTTTTTAATATCGTTGGAAGTGTCACTTACCGATACATAGACCATTGATTAATTTAGAAACTTTCGTATGAAGATCGTAGTAGTCGTTGGATGTAACTTGATAATCAGCGTTGGGGTTACTTGCAATTGTCCCTAAATTTGATGAATCGACATCTCCTCCACTTCCCATCGCAAAAACATAAACACCATTTCTTTGAATTGAAGTTGATTGCCAGGAGAAAGAATCGTGGGACTTCCCGTCTGAAATTACTATTACAATGTCCAGCCTATCAGAAGGATTTGAATTCATTAAATTTTGAGCGTCGCTCAGTGCATTTCCAATATAAGTTCTTGTGTGGCCTCTATATGGTGCTCCAGTTATAGCTGATTTGATTGAATATTTATTATTGTATCTGTCGAAGGTGAAACGGGTTGAAGTACTTGAACCGAACGTCATTAGCGCAATTCTTATGTCATCAGGACCAATTGTCATACAGTCGACCAGCTTTGCAGCAACTTTCTTGGCATATGTGAAACCGGAGGAGAATACACTGCTGGAATCATCAATCAGAAAGAGGATATCTGTCTTCAAACATTCTGGAATAAAGAGTATTGATAATTGCTTATAAAGCCTTTATGCCATACATAGCTAGTTAAAGAACAAGTTTTAACTGAATGGAGTGATTGCTTAAGATTAACATGATAATTTCTTATACATACTTTTCTGTTCCATAATTGAGCCTATAACACAATGTGACCCTTTGCATGCACAGTTAGAAGGAAGTGAAGGGTTTATACTGGCTGAATGAGAGACGAAAATTGGATAAAGGCGTTCATTATGTAAACAAATCTTAATCAAAATATTGATAATTAATGATGAAGCAACAAAAAAATCAACACGGGTTACTTTCAAGATGCTTTATTTGCTTTATTTTGGACAATTTGTGTAAATGGTCTTGATTGTCTGATAAACCAAGAAAAAAAGAAACGTATTCATACAGTTAAAATACTAGAAAAAAAAGTCAATATCAACAACATTGAATTTCTTTTTTTTTTCCTTTTCATTGTATAAATGTCAAATAAGAAGACAATGAATGAAATTGCTTTCTCTATTGGTATAATTCACAGCTTGGTCTTGATGAATACTGGATATCATAGATTCTGTCATTAACCACTGCATTTTGCCTATACATGTGTATTGATTCAGTGACATTTCTAAAAGGTTGTAGAGGGCCGACCAATGGCGTACCGTAATTCACTATATATCATCAGTTTTGCTATTTATATGCTTATGTAAGTAAATTTGACGTTCTATGAATTTTCAGTGGCGAGCCTCACCAAATAGTACTTGTAAAACCTAGACAATGACAAAGTACTTTCTGCATGACGCATAAACATAAAACGTGAACAATTGATTTTCAAAAAGAAAAAAAGGAATTAAAAGAAATGTCTGTTCATCTAGCTATTTATTTGTCGAAAGGCTGTATCAAGGTTATAATTCATGGCTGTTGATTAAAATGAATTCAAACTTTAATTTATATTGCCATGGACCTAAACATGTATTAAGATCTTGGCGCAAAGTCATTTCTTAAAGTCAATGTAAATGGGAAAGGACAGTAGAATGATGTCCGCACTAGAAATTTTAAAATGTTGGTAAGAATGAAATCAAATGTTGGTATGCCATTGTCCAAGATGTTGAGACTTTCTCATTTCTCAAAGGTCAAGTTCACTCGCAGTGGGACAATGAAATGTAAATAAAGATCTTGTCTCAAGGACAACCTCAAGATCAAGGTCAATTGGGAATGAAATCGTGGAATCATGTTCGAGACATAAAGAAACTTAAAAACTTTGCTGGAAATGATATGGGATATTGATGTTCGCTACACGTGTGTCATGACATTCAATCAAATCACAGAGGTTAGGATTACACAATGCTGGCAAAAAAATATTTGCAAAAGATGGAGACATTTGAGTTCGTTAAAGATAGATATCGTTTCTACTTAAACCAAAGTTCATAAGACAACGAATTATCATTTAAACATTAATAAAAAGGCTAAACTGCTTTCAGAAACGAACATACTTGAATCAGAAAAAAAAATTAAATGTTTAATTAAAATGTGTCTGAATTACTGATATCAAGGCTTTTCATTGAAATGTTTAGGGGTCGCTATGCTAACAGATATTTGGTATGTCTTCTTGTACACTCGTAGGTTCTGATTGTGGCGGATTATCAGTTATATACCTAAAAAGGAGAAGAAATGGATTAAAGACTTGTTTTTTCCTTTAGATTATTCATTCTGAATGTTTTAACTCCACGGAAATTTTTTCAAATTACTGTACCTGACTTGCTGTTTGATTTCTCTTCTGTATCTTTTCTTTCTTCAAAATAATCACGATATATAGCAGCTGAACACCAATTATAATAACGGTTCACGATTTTTCCCTTTATTTACACAGCAAACGATCAAATACGAAAATATGAAAATAAATTCACAGAAAATGTAGCGGTCTTTCTCCACCTGAATACCTTAATGAATATATTTGTTTTATTAGTAGAAGTAGTATACTTCGAGAATATCAAGATTTGTAAATCTTTATGACAGATTGGATATTTCTGCTTAAAAAGTGGGAGAAGAACCGAATTTATTAATTTTTCATGATTTTCAAATAAAATTGATTATGCAAATATTGTCGTAACTAACATTTGTTGAAATACACTTCCAATGCTTCAAACGACTTTAAACAACTCAATGCTTTACAGATATAAAAATAAACAAAACATGTGACATTACATTTTTCTTACTATTATTTTATATAATGCAATAATTATCAATTACTGGTAAGTTTAAGAAATCTTATATTAAAGTCTACCTCCTTTCATACAAATGTATCCTCTCAGGTTACTCCCACAAGAGAGATCATTCCATCTAAATCTCCTTTCGGTACTTGTACCATAGAATTGCAGACAATCCTCGTTATTGAGGTTATTTGGCTCATCTAACAGACATATTAACATTTTAGTACAATTTTTTACTTTTGTAATTTGAATACTAGTACTAACTTTTAAGCCTGGATGAATACTTTTCAGCTTATGCACAGTTATAGACAATTGTCCTATAAAAGGGTAATAGCAAAATTCAAAGACATCATGATCATTGATTAATACGTCATATTTAATTTTGGTGTTGAACAAATAAATGTTAATTAATTTTAGACGCGTACTACCTTCACAGTATTGAAAAGGTTAATCAATACTCACTCGATTATTTATTTAAAACTAAGGATAACAAGTTATCACGCTACCATTAAATTTTGTAAATTATTTTACCTGGATACCAGTTTGAATATGTAAAGGGATCTTCACTATCCACCCAAAACCATGTTCCTTCAGTTACTTCATCAGTTCCACCAATCCAAACGTCATCACTACTGATCACTGGAACAAATTACAATAATAAACACGGCTACCTGATCAATACATAGAGCTCACGGCGGATGTGACCGATCGACATGGGATTCTGACTCCTCCTAGGCACCTGATCCACTTCTGAAATTTCCAGAGATCCAGCTCAATCATCCTTCGTTATCTTCACTTTTTTTCAGTATAAAATAATATACAAGGTAACAATAATGGAAACAGTTACCTTATAAAATAAAATATATTGTAACATAATGGGCACGCGGTTATCTTGTAAATAATTTACAAGGTAATATAATGGAAACGGTTACCTTCTAAAATAATATATAAGGTAACATAAATGACACGGGGTTATCTTGTAAATAATATACAAGGTAATATAATGGAAACGGCTACCTTCTAAAATACTATATAAGGTATCACAGTGGAAACGGTTATCTAAAAATCATACAAGGTAATACAATGGAAAACGATTATCATATAAAGCAATGTACTATATAATATGGAAATTGTCATCTCGTAAAATAATATACAAGATAACATACAGGACATAAATAATTTACTTGGTTACGGCAAAATTTATTTAAGAATATAAAAATGACAGACATTTATATACTAAGTATAGTCTTCATAATTTAATTGAAAACTTTGCAAAATAATTTGTAGAATGAGTATTCATTTAAAGAAAGTGAGGAAAACAAATAAAAAAGCTGATATTTGAACTTTTCTGCAATTTAAAAAAAAAGAAGAGTAAACAGATATGAAACACTGTATAAAAGTTTTAAAACATATCGACATAGAGCTTCAACCTCAAAGAAACTGAGATGGTGTGTTTATTTTGTTCTTCATAAGATATGTTTTTAATATGATGTGACTGTTCACGGTAGCTCAGTCGGTAGAGCGCTCGCTTCGTGATCGGGAGGTCGTGAGTTCGAATCTCGGCCGCGACTGACCTAAGTCGATAAAAAAATGGGTAGCAACTGTTCCTTCGCCATGCGCTCGGCACTTTAAAGTGAAAGTTGCGGTTCATTCAGATGAGACTTTAAAAACCGAGTCCCCGTGTCACGGAAGGCGTTCGCACGATAAAGATCCCTCAATGCTCAATGGCCCTGAGTGCCGAGTAAAGGTCAAAATTTGAAGCCCTTCACCGGTATATGGTGACGTCTCTATATGAGTGAAAAATTCTCCAATGGGACGTAAAAACAACATACAACATACAATAATATGATGTGATGACTTCACTTTTTCTATCGTCAACTTCCCTGATTTAAATAGGGAAACTTGACGATAGAAAAGTTGAAATTTTGTTCTAGTCACAATTTATATTGTTTAATTGGACTTTTAGCATGACAACTGTTCGTATCCTCACATTTCATCAAGCTCATTTTACCTTTAAGGTTGATATTTGGCCTAACCCCTCCCCCCTCTCTCTCTCTCTAAAGTAGAAAGAGAAAAAAATGGTTCTTACAATGTTTTTTTTTCTGTTGTTAACTAATCATATTTGATGATTGGGTGAATTCCTCATGAAGATGATAAATAGTTTTCAAATTTGTTTGTACTTAAGACAACATCTGTAAATGAAAAAGTGAAGATAAGGAACAATGATTAATCTCAAAATACTACAAAGAATTCATATTTGTAAGCAGGGCATGAAACAAGGACCCCTGGAAATTCCAGAGGTGGGATCAGGTGCCTATGAGAAGTAGCATCCTATCTCGACCGGTCACACCCGCCGTTTTCAGTATGTATTGGTCAGGTAGAGGGAATATTCCGTGTGATAAACTATATTTGCAAACAAGGTCATTATAACGAACATAGAATTCTTGAAATGCTAACTAAGATTACTGAAATCCCTGTGAAATCAACTTATTTGCCAGTAGCCTACATCGGTTTAAAACTTAATCGTATCCAGAGCATGCTCTTGCATATCGAATCCGATGGGAGACGTAACACCATATACAGAGGATAGTGGAATATTACAATAAATGACTGAGACTGTATCTGCATACAACTTGCTCAGTGGCAACTTAATACATGGTATTAAGCAGGCATTGTTTTTATTTAAATGATAAGAAAATGGCTTACTGTTTCACCACAAGGACTCTCATTTTGTACACATCTTTTAATCAGTGCCCTGACTAAAATGACATACCGTTACTTTGCAGGAAACTCTGTACTC